ATTATGTTTAAAGGTGACCTTAGGGATGGTGAGAGTTTTAGTTCCTTCCCACAGTAGGGCTGGCCTCTGGCTGTTGCAGTCAAACTTTTACACCTCGCTCCCTTGTGATCAGCAAAATGCCAAGGGACAAAGCGACATTCACAGGCCCTGAGAATGAATCTAATCCACGACCTTTGCCTCATTAGCAGCCTGACCTAACCAATCAGAGAAAAGCCTGCCTTTGATTCTGGTAGCACAGGCTGTGACAGCGACCGAGATGGGCTCCTTGGTGTAGCTCTAAGATGCATCCCTGGTTCCCTTTGAACTGCTTCGTCAATGCAGACATACCAATTTAGGTTGTCTTTCTGACTCTCGGTAGCTCTTTCTGTCTGTAATTAAAATGGCAAAATGTTTGTTATCCACTGACATAAAGTAAACACCAGCAACTTTACAATGTTTATTTGCTTTTTCTCAAGAATATGCCCACAGATTCCGTGTTCACAGATGTGCACTGAAATCTAATATCTAGATGTTTAGAATTGTTTAATTTAAAAAATTTAACTATTTGTTTAAAATAATTTCAGATAGACAACAAAGTAATAGAATAGTACAAAGAATTCCAATATACCTTTCACCCAGCCTCCCAAACGTTAACATGATACATAATATTTATATAATGATAAAAGCAAGATGTGATACTATCACATTAACATGATGTGATACTATTAACTAATCTATAGACCTTATTACAAAATTTCTGAAGGATCACACATTTCATTTAGTTGCCCCAACCTCTTAGTCTCTCCCATTCTGGGACAATTTCTCAGTCTTTCTTGAACTTTTATGACCCTTGTGAAAAATAAGAGTTAGTTATTTTGTAAACTTTCCGTCTGTTTGGGTTTGTCTGTGTTTTCCTCATGATCAAATTGATTATGCGTTTTCAGCAAGAATATGACAATAGTGATACTGTGCCCTACTCGGTGCATCTTTGTTTTGTTTTGTTTTGTTTTTTGAGATGGAGTCTCACTTTGTTGCCCAGACTGGAGTGCTGTGGCGCGATCTCGGCTCACTGTAACCTCAACCTCCCAGATATGAGTGATTCTTCTGCCTCAGCCTCCTGAGTAGCTGGAACTACAGGCACATGCCACCACGCCCCGTTAACTTTTGTATTTTTACTAGAGACAGGGTTTCACTCTATTGGCCAGGCTGGTTTTGAACTCCTGACTTCAAGCCTCCCAACTCGGTGCATCTTATCAGGGAGTATGTCGTGTTGATACATGTACCTGCTAGTGACGTGAGCTTTGCTCACTTTGCTAAGGTGGTGTCTGCCACTGTGAAGGTACTAGTTTCCCCTTTGCTGTAAATAAGTTGTGGAGAGATCCTTCAAGACTGAATAAACATACTGTTTCTTATCATGCTCATTATCATACTCAAATCTTCAGATTTTTGCAGTTGAAAAATATTAATGGGATCACTGCCTATTATTTTCAAGACATGCTACAAAAATTAGAATGTCAGGGTGAGAATAAAGCATTTTAAGGTGTAAATCCCACTTTGTTATTGTTATGACTGGTCTTTATTTCACTGGTATCAAATTGTAGTTTGTGATCTTTGGCACTTTCTTATGTTCTTTTCTTGGGTGAAAAAATTAAATACGTAGTACATGAACAAAGATGTTGTTTCAAAACTTTACTGAATAACGTTCACATATTCTATATGTCTGGATGCAGTCCTCTGCCTCCCTCCTTTCCCTTCTCCCTTCTTTTATAAACTCACTGAGGCTTCCAGTATGCCAGTCCCAGGTATAAAAAGGTGAGAAAACATAGTCTGACGTCCAGGAGTGCCATGCTACAGGCACCAGGATAGCACATACTTAGAATGGGTGCTGGAGTATTGGTAAACTGGGTTAGGCCTAAGACCCTTTTATCCTGAAAGCACAAAGTGAAAATCGAGGCACAGTTTTACAAAGGATCAAGGTGAAATCAGGATGAGGGTTGGAATCTGAGAAAAGTAGTGCTGTCTGTAGGGTACATAGCAAAGCCTTCTATCTTGCCTTTGTGGCTTTTGCTGCTGTATGGTTTCCCCTAAGGGCTAATAGCCATTGGATTCTACAAAAAAGAAAGAAAGAAAGAAAAAAAACCAAATTAACTGAGCATGAATGTGATCAAGTGGGTGTCCCTCCCTCAGAGATAGTGAAAAGTCTACAGCATGGCTGGTTGCTGGGAACCAGAGCAGAGAGAAAGAAGCCAGAAGATGACCCTCTTTGAAGTCTTTAGACCATGATTAGAGACTGGCTCTTCTCTGCTTAGTCCTCAGTCCTTTGGGAAATGGCAGCCCTGAACATAGTTTATACCATTAGAAAGATTAGTGGAAGGGTCTCAGGACCTATAAACCCTGTTGCATTATTAAAGTATGCCAAGTTTTAACCAGTAAATGATGTGTCTTTTCACTGTGATTTAAATAATTTCTCCAAATATCTGGTTTCCCAGAATTTTAAAAATAGATTTGAGGCATCTCTTCATGATTTTTCAGTACATCATGTTATTTTGATTTTTTTTTTTTTACTGTGATAAAACATATAAATGTGTCATTTTTACAAAAACTGAAGAGGTCAATTCATCCTATAAAGTGATTAATCATAAGAGTGATAAAATTATGCCTTCACCAGGTAGATGTGCAGCAACGTCTCTAACAGGGAGCTCTTCATGAAGAAAAACTTGTAGAGGCAGGAAAACATAATTCACAATATCTGTAAAAAATTAAATAGGATAGTAATTATTTGTTTTAAAAATGGAGATTCTATTTCATTTCCTGAATTTCTTCTGACTGCATAAGAACATAGAAAAATAAACACACCATTCATTTCATTCTACTGAGCTATACACCTGTCAAGTCATTTAGCAGAGTAACAATGCATATTGTTGACCATTTCAGTTTCCTCTGCCCTTTTATTCTAATTTGGGTACCTCCTTCCTCTGTTTTTATTAGAAGACTAAATAGACCTGGATTGGAGATTGAAAAGAGTCATGACGGCCAGTTGAATGACTTCATGGCCAAGGCTTCAGAAGAAAGCTCTGACTTCCTGGGAATCCCATTTCCCCCAGTCCCCTGAATCTCCTTTGAAAAGCAGTTTTTGCTTCATAAGCCATTTCTGAGCACCCCACTTGCTGCCATGGGAGTTAACAGTTGCTAGGTGAGGAGAAGGAGCCATTTTTTCCTAGTGTTCTTACTATGCTGTGTACGTCGTCTCCGATCTGAAGGGTAGCAAACTTGGTAGCTAGTCATCATACATTGTGAATCTAGCTCTTTCCAAGTCTCTGGGTAGATCAGCATATTGTTAGTTACTAGAAATCTGATAGCCCTCCTAAGTGTTTATTAACTATTTGTAAATATTATTAAGGCTTCCCTAAATGAACAAAAGGCTCTTTAAAACATGTTTAAATTTAATACAAACCAATCTTTATAGAAATGTTTGATGTAATTCAAATCCACTAATACAATGACATGCCATTTATAAATAAGATACCCTTATCAGCTGACGTCTACCTCATTCTCCTCATCTTACCCCTTCCCATCTTCTTCTGCTTTTAATATCCTCTTTAAATATTATTCAAAAAGTGTGACTAATTGGGTTGACTAAAAATGTTGCATCTCCCCACCTTGTTTCCTTCAGAAATGTTTGGCTGCACCTTCTCCATTTAATCTGAGCCTATTACCAAAATAATTTATCAGTTACCAAGTGGGATTATACAAGGTAAGCAGCAAAAGTAGGAAAAAAGGCCAGGCACAGTGGCTTACACCTATAATTCCAGCACTTTGGGAGGCCGAGGTGGGCAGATCACAAGGTCAGGAGTTCAAGACCAGCCTGACCATTATGGTGAAACCCCATCTCTACTAAAAATACAAAAATTAGTGGGATGTGGTGGCATGTGCCTGTAATCCCAGCTACTCAGGAGGTTGAGGCAAGAGAATTGCTTGAACCCAGGAGGTGGAGGTTGCAGTGAGCTGAGATCACGCCACCACACTCCAGCTTCGGTAACAGAGCGAGACTCTGTCTCAAAAAAAAAAAAAAAAGAAAAAACTAGGAAAAAAATGGCCCAGATAGAAATGGGAATGTGCTCACCAAATCATAAACAACTGTACACCCCCCTTACAACTTCAGTCCATGCTCTTGAGTGAAGAGGGGTGAGGGAGCAGGGGGACAGTATATTTTTGGTGGCAGAAATGAGCTGTCTTCAGGCACACTGAGAACACAGTTTTTAGAGCCCTTGGGTGTTATCACAGGGGCTTCCTATGGTGCCCGAAGTGACTGCAAGCAGAGGCTGAGTCTCAGGTGGGCAACAGGGTGCTGTCCTAAATAGCCCCAGAGGAGAGCTGTGGTGGTGGAAACTCTCGCCAGGATTGCTGTGACCCAGCCCCCCTGCGGGGTTGCCCTTTGTAGCCTGCATCCTCCTGCTGGCATCAGCTGCATCTACATTGTTTAAACACACTCCAGTTCTTTCCGTGTTCCCGAACTGCATTGAGTGATATTGTTGCTGGAAAAGCGTCTCCATCCAGACCCCAGGAGAGGGTTCCTGGATCTTGCACAAGAAAGAATTTGGGGGCCGGGCACGGTGGCTCACGCCTGTAATCCCAGCACTTTGGGAGACCAAGGCAGGTGGATCGCCTGAGGTCAGGAGTTTGAGACCAGCCTGCCCAACACGGTGAAACCCCATCTCTACTAAAAATACAAAAAATTAGCCGGGAGTGGTGGCGGGCGGCTGTAATCCCAGCTACTTGGGAGACTGAGCCAGGAGAATCGCTTGAACCTGGCAGGCAGAGGTTGCAGTGAGCCAAGATCGCGCCATTGCACTCGAGCCTGGGTGACAAGAGCAAAATTCAGTCTAAAAAAAAAGAAAAAAAGAATTTTGGGTGAGTCCACAGAGGAAAGTGAAAGCAAGTTGATTAAGAAAGTAAAGGAATAAAGAATGGCTACTCCATAGGCAGGGCAGCAGCATGGGCTGCTGGTTGCCCATTTTTATGGTTATTTCTTGATTATATGCTAAACAATGGGTGGATTACTCATGCCTTTCCTTTTTAGACCATATAGGGTAACATCCTGACATTGCCATAGCATGTGCAACCTGTCACGGCACTGGTGGGAGTGTAGCATTGAGGATGACCAGAGGTCATGCTCGTCGCCGCTTGGTTTGGGTGTGTTTTATCTGGCTTCTTTATTACAACCTGTTTTATCAGCAAGGTCTTCATGATCTGTATCTTGTGCTGACCTCCTGTCTCTTCCTGTGACTGAGAATGCCTTAACCTCTTGGGAATGCAAGCCAGTAGGTCTCAGCCTCATTTTACCCAGCTCCTATTCAAGATGGAGTTGCTCTGGTTTAAATGCCTCTGAAGTGTTCATTTGGAGAAATTTACTTACCAGCTAGATACAGTGAAGGTTTCCAATGTAACATAGAGATGGGAGTGAATGGGAAGCCCATAAAGAGGAGGCAAACGCTTTTAAAGTATCCTTGGCAGGTAAATTGATGTGCAAAGAAAGAGTGAAACAGTGAACTACTGTAAAGTGTCATCCCATGGAAAGCCTTATTAGTGTAGAACTCTTCTGATATTTTTCTATAACTGTGCAAAATTTAAAAATGCAAAATGGTACATATACTATAATTATGACTCCAGAGAAAAAACAAACATTTGTGCATATTACCAAGACTGAAAGGAAACACAATAGAATGTTAAAAATGCTATTTCTGCATGGTGGGAATATGGATGAATTTTGTCTTCCTTTCTCCTTTCATTTCCCACATTTTCTAGAATAAGCATGAATATCTATTCATAATGAAACATAACAAATAAACTAAGACACACACCCACACACTGAAAAGATATTTTTAAAAAGAATTTTAAACCACAAACATCCTTATTGCTGGGTTGATATGGAGCCTGAAATTCCCATTTTTGGTTTAAAGTCTTGTCTTTAGGACGATCTCATTTTACAATATAAAATACTACTTAGTAGAAGCAATGTTAATCCATGAACACCTTAGTATAAAAACGTACAAAAAATGTATCTGTTTTTCTAGCCTTGCGGACTGTAGAGAGTATGAATCCAAGGGTGGAATGGAGAAATGCCCAGGTCCTAGAATTTTCAACCTGTGGAGGACACCGCTCTCCAGCTAAATGCCTAAGAGGACAGTGGCATTGAAGTGGTTTTTAAGGCAGAGAAAAATGATATGGGCTTTGGGGTGGCTTAAGGAGAATGAGGCAGGAAGAGTCACAAAACCAAGCCTGCTTTACATCTTGTCTACATCGAATACTGCAGCAAACATACTTGTTCATGCATTTGCACAATTATCTGACTCTTTCTTCAGAATAAACCCCTGAAGATGAGAGCCCTGCGTTAAAGGGTGTGGATAACCTAAGACTTTTGATAGGTGATTTCAGGCACATTCTAGGTGCAAAGTGCTCTCTTTACTATTGCCTATATGCCGGATGGAGAACACCTAGTCCTACATAATTTCCATGAGACTTCACATCCAAAGGAAATGCCAGTCAGTACCCAGGACCTCACTGCTGACTCCTTTCTCTGAAAGGTGCCAGTTAAACTCTTCTTTGGCTGAGCGTTAGGACTTTCAGGAGGTTTTAAATAGTTGAAGTGATTTTGAAGTCTTTTATTCAGAGGAACAGCTGAAGCCATCTTAAGGCCAAAGTGAAACCCGCACCTTCACCAGGTTCCAGGCAGCCAGCTCTGGATCTCAGCTTGTATTGCAAAGCAAACCTCTTTGTTTACAGCCGTCCAATACGACTGTCTACTAGGATCAAATTAACCGAAAATAAGCTCTGGAAGGCTGACAGCTTTAATTGTCATTTAATAGACCCGTTTCCTAAACTCCCTAATATCTTGTGTTGACTGTGATTACAGAGGGTCCCATGAGTAAATCTGATTTAAATTGATGCTCAATTTGGCCAGGACTGAAGAAATACTGGGTGGCAATTGTGGAACAAAACTGGGTAAAATTCCTTTCATCTTTTGGTGGTTAAAGTACTTGAACTTTAATACCTAAATACAGCCCATCTGGAATCCTTAAATGAAAGCTTTAATTCTCAGAGAAAGGATTTGAAGGTCTCTTTGTCTTCCACTGAAGGTTTTAAGAGGCAGTCAGCAATTAATAAATGAGATCATCGGCAAAATAAAATTCTTCTTTAAACCGAATTTTAATAGGCTCATATCTCAACCTGGGCTTAGCGGTGTTTAGGATGAAAGGATGCTGGTTATTTGTATGACCTCTGGGAGACCCATAATGACTGGGGGGAAAGAAATTACAATCCTTCAGCCATTCATGCTTGGAAAATTACTTTCAATAGGCACATAAATTATCCATATCTTGCTTTTCTTTTGGGGAATATTCAGAAATTACCAGAAAGCATATAATGGATCAATATTTGCTGCACCGGTTATCTTTTTTATTTTTTTGTTTCTCTTTCCCCCAAGTTCTCTGTTAGGGTCATTGCATTGCTGTCAGTTAAAAATGTCTAAATAGCTCGTCTTCACACGAGGTATTGCTCTGCTTTTCCAGAGCTATCTGCTGTGACAGATGCAGGGTATACTTTTGACTGCATGTGGTTCTCATTAAATCTTCACATGAGATTGAGGCCTGCCACATAAATTGGCGGAGCTTCTCTTAAGGATTATGAATCACTTCAGGATTATGTCCTTTTTATCGCTGTAGTCTAAAGGCAAGTTCATTACAAATATGAGCCAGACAAGAGACCCTACAGGACACTCCCATCAATAGCCTTAAGGCTATTTCTGCAACTTTTAAGGAAATGTAGTACTTAGGCCATGTCAGAGGGTGAGAAATGATGTCCCTGAATCCCCAGCACACATGTACACCAAAGTACTTAGATGTACTAGTGACACTGAAAAAAATCACTCTCAGATAGAAAAATCTTTTGAGAATCGATAAAGTGTTACAGTCTCCACAAACAAGGATTAAGAGCCACCCCAGGCTGTAAGAACTGGACAATGTGATAGGAAAAAGAAAAATCAGTAGTTAATATCTCATATGGAAAACAAAATAAGTTTCTGAATGGCAGCTCGCATTTTTTTTGGCACACGATTCTTTCTAGTTCTGTATGGATTTTACTACAAGCTCTTTTACAAAGAAACAATTGTGATTTAAATATAAAACCAACAAAATTTGCTGCGGTGAAATTTTTTGCCTTATTTGCTGATTGAAAAAGAAGCTAATATAAAAGAACACATTTCCTTTATACGTATGTAAATAGATGTAGAACATAATGTGAATCTGAAAAAATTAAACATTTTTCAAACTTCTGAAAAAGACTCACGATACAGCCCTGTGGTTGAGAAAGATATCCGTTTATTTTCCTGAGATTCAAAAGCAGGGGCCATGAGCTGGAGCTCTTTTTCCCATTTGAAGTAAATTGTCTTGACAGTGCATAAGGGAGAGAAGAGCGCTGAGATAATTGGGTTCAAAACAAGTATTTGCAGAATGGAGACAGGAAGCTCTTTGTACAGATTAAAAGATGGGTAAATGAATGATTGGGTTAAAGGTTCTATCTGAGGGAAGATACAAATACGAATCATAATTCAGTTAGACAATCAAAGGGGAGAGAATATATATCTGAATATTCATTCAATAAACAAAACTACCCATTGTGTGTATAGCTGAGCATGTGCCTGGTCAGGCACAGGCAGTAGGTAGCGGGCATCATTGGGGGAGTCTTGCCTGTGTCCACTCAGTCCTCTCTGAAGATCACTTGCAGCTTTAGTGGGCACTCCACAACCATTTTGCCAGAGGATGTTCTCTGGCCACAGGAGTGCACCCTTGCCTGTGCACTGTGTAGGCTGGAAGCTCTGTGGAGTCAAGCAGTCTTGCAAGTAATCCCCCAACAATGTGGAACATGAGTTGGTGGATGAATGTGCCTTGGTGGGACAATCTGGGATGTGAAGTGCGGTATTTTAGAAGGTCCCCAGTTTGATCTCAGCATGGTTGCCCACAGTAGGAACTTCACTTGCTTTCCTGCCTTCCTTATCTGGCTTCCCCAGAGTGCCCCGGTGCTTCCTGGGATCATGTCCCAAATAAACTACTTGCACCTGAATTCTTTCTCAGGCTGTGCTTTCGGGGGGAAATCCAAACTAAGATATAAGCTGAATGGATGTTTGATGGAGAAAAATTGGGGGACATTTGTATTAAAATATTGATCGTGTTTGATCTGCACTCAGAACAGAGTTTAATATAGAAAAGGGGGGTATTTTATGGTGTGAAGGAATGAGGAAAAGTCATGAAGAAGAAAGCTTGAGGGCACTAGCAAGATTTACTCCCAGACTGGGTGTGATGTATAATTGATTAAAAGGTTTAAATGGAACATGGTCCTTGGTTTTGAGGATGGTTGCAAAGTTTGCATCATCTGTAATGACCAACAACAAAAATAAGGGTGAAAGATTTTTGGGGAAAGCCCCCCAGAGAGTAAGTAATTGTGTTTAGCATGTGAAGTCCTTAGAATTTCAGGTCTTTCCCTCAAGTTCCCATATCATTATATTCTTTCTAATTGGATGATGAAATATGCACCTGCATATTTACATTTTTCTTCCTATTGAGAAAAACCCCAAGGAGGGGAAATGAGGGAAGGAGACCTCCACGTTTTGCTGGGCACAGGCAGCTATTGACTCCATGGTGTACAATGTGTGTTTTCTGCCTTCTTTAAAAACTTCAGGAAACAAACACAAAAAAGTCATATTACAGGATCACACCTGCTATAAGCTTTAGGCTGACAAGGACATGTTAGAGCTGTTGATTCTTGTAAGAAGTATCTTAATTTAATTGGATCCTCTTGGCATCCAACAACATCCATTAACCTCGGCAGTTTTTGAAGCTGATGATACATCTTGTTCCTCATATTGTATCATGTTTTAAATCTCCCTGCATAGACTTTGTACAGTTTCATAGTTCTACTTTGCACGAATAAGGACGTTACCTTTCTGGGGGCATCTTCATGAGTCGATGACTCATAGCGTTCAGGTCTGCTTTCAAGGTTAGTTGAGCGAGGACATGACAGCATAACAACAGTAAAATGGAAATGATTTTTCCATTTTTCCAACGAGCCTCTCTCACCATCTGATGTGTGGAATTTTTTCCAGCTTTCACAGCTAAGCCATTGCTAATTGTTGAATTTACATTAAGATTGTAAGCTCTGGCAAGCCTGAAATTCATTTTGGCTCATTTCCTCAGCCTCATTCCACAAATAGTACCTCCAGCCCCAAATGCTAAGGCCAAAGGAGAAAGATCCCGAGCTGTGTAAGGCAGATCTTTGGCCTTTTTCTTACTATAGCAAGATGCTTTCTATAGCAGTGAAAAGAATTCTAAACATTGGAAAATGTCTCCTTATGTGTGCCTTCTCTGTGTCACTGTAGACCAAATTAGTTCACATTAGGGTAGGCGGGACTGAGATTTTTCCTACCAGGGCAATTTGTGCAGAGGGAGGGTTACTGCTTTTAGGGAAATTTTGATCATTTCCTTCCAGTTTCTTTCAGTTCTAGCAACAACTCAGTTATGGTGGCTATGTGGGAAGTCGATCCATGTTTAAATCAACACTGATTTAACAATATAATCAAGCCTTTCTTCAGAATTCATGTGGTGATAGCAAAAACAATTTCAAGGGTAAACGAGTATTTTTTGAGGGTGGAGATTTTTTTTGATGCTGAAAATACATTGAATAGTGGGGCATCTCTGAGTTATAAAGAACTAATACAGACAAGTTTAAAGGGCATGATTTTTTTTCGTATGATTTTAGTCGATTCTGTTAAAAGTGGAGTAAGAAATGTCATAGGAAAGAGTCACACGAAAACCCACTCTACTTTTTTCCTTCTTATTAAACATGTGCTGTCATTTCCTAAGGGCAATTAGGATAAGCAAAAGTTTATTCATCTTAAAGTTAGCTTCCAAAAGCATCGGTCTGCATTTAGTGGTTTGGTAAACATATTCAAGTTCAACTACCTACATCAACCACGATGTTAAAAATGTGATCATTTTTCCTCTGCGTTTTTCCCTAGACGATGAGCTGTTATTATTTTACTTTTTCAATGAATGAAGTGCCTTTGGATGTCAGTTATCTAATTAACAAATCATCCAATAGTTAATTGCCAAGATAAGAACAAAGGAAAATGTAAAAACAAGACAAATCATCTCCTTCTCCAAATGAGAAACTCAATAAAATATGGTTGGTTTAATGGATTCCAGAAGGAGAAAAACACAAAACCAATAAATAATTAATTTTATTCTCTTTTTAAAATTGTTTTGGGATTATGGTATGGACACAATCATAAACAACTGGGGCAGTTCAGTTCTTAAATATATTTGCATGTAAACAAGAGGAAAAAATTATACTAGGGTTATTTATATGTTAATGAAGAGAGCAGAGAATGACATTAAAACCTCATGATAACCTTTTTCCGGATGCCTCAGTTTATAATAAGTTTCCTCTGAAGGGAAAGGATTGGATGTGTAGGCCTAACTTTAAGTACTCAGACTGGAGGCAACACTGGGAAGTGGAGGTGAGGAAAAAAGGATGATGTTATGGGTTATTTGTTGCTGAATAATAATTCACTTTAAAACATACGACTTGAAGAACAGTCATTTTATTGTCTTTTATAACTGTTGTGAATTGCGAATTCAGGAAGGGTTTAGCTGGGTGCTACTGTCTTGTAATCTCTCCTCCAACTGTAACCAGACAGTGATAGGAGCAACAAAAGTACAAGGGTTGGGGGTGGAGGAAAGTAGGCTGAGGGTGAGGTGGGTAGAGCAGCTGCACAATGGCCGGGCATCTCTCACTCAGGATGCAGCTTCAGTGCTTCCCCTTGCCATCTTTTCACTTAACTAGAAAAATAAAAAGTCAAATCCAGTTGGGCACAAAAGGAATAGGGGCAGAAGAGGTGAAATTACAAGTTTGGGCTTCCTCACCACATGGCAGTTTCAGGGCAGCTGGACACTTGCTTGGTGGCTCAGGACTCAATGCCTATGTTCCAGTGAGGGAGATTAGCTTCATCATTTATAACCTAACCTGAGAAATCACTCCGTGTAATTTCTACCATGCTCTATGGTTACCAGCCAGTCACAAATCTGCCTGAACTTGGGAAGAGGAAGAAGAATCCATGTCTTGATGGAGAAGTGCCACATTTCTGGAAAACCTTAGGTAGGACACAATTCTTATGCAACTGCAATATGCAAAAATAGTAGGAAATATCTTATGGCCAGTTTTGGAAAATACGGTATTCCATAGGTGGCCAGGTAAATCTTGGAAACAACCAGGTATTCCTTGAGTAGGTAAGGGATAAATTGTGGTACATCAAACAATGTAATATCATTTAATGCTGAAAAGAAATGAACTATGAAGCCATGAAAAGACATGGAGGAATCTTAAATATATATTACTAAGTGACAGAAGCTAATCTGAAAAGGTAATGGACTGTAATATTTCAACTATATGACCTTCTGGAAAAGATAAAACTGTGGAGACAGTAAGAAGATCAGTGGTTGTTAGGGGCTGAAGGGAGGGGGAGGGATGAATAGTGTAGGGGTCAAGGAGCCCTCTGAATTTTCGCTAAAAAATCAACTCACAAAAGGCACATTAATTGGAAAATAGGCATACAAATTTTGTTTACGTTCACACAGGAGACACTGTGATTACTCCAACCCCCATTGGGGTGCAGAAGCTTATACACCATCTTGAAGTTACAGAAAAACAGAATGAGTCCACAAGAATACCTCCTGGTCCTAAGGTTTTCCAAGAAATCTTAGGATCCTGGCAAAGCAAACTATGTGAGTAGGGATAAGAGGAATTCTGCTGAGGGGCAATGCGTGATTCCTAGGGAGAATTCAATAAGCTTGAAGAGCATCCAGTTGTCTGGGACAAAGTCTGTTGGGTTCGCAGAGTGGACAATGGTTTGTGATAAAAGTCTGTCCAGGTGTGTTGACAGACTTCAATCTTTCTTCCTGGAATCCAGGTTCAGTTAATGAAAACTCAGGGAAGGGGACAGAGGTCATCGTTTTCTTCTTGGCAGGCTCGGACTTTAAGCAGATAAGGGAACAAGATAATCCTGGGTTTTGGGAAAGAAAGTGGCGCAGAAGAGGTGGTGGGAAGGTCAGAGAGACTTTAAAGCTTCTTCAGTTCAGCATGTCAAAATGCCATATTTTGGGGTATTGGTTTCTGATCCCCAACCATAGGCAGAGCACAGAAGATTTTTGTGGCAGTGAAAGTTCTCTGTATGGTACAGTGGACACACGCCATGACACATTTGTCCAAATTCATAGAATGTAAAACACCAAGAGTGAAATCTAATGTACACCAGGACTTTGTGTGATTATGATGTGTCCAATGTAGGTTCATTGTCATTTATTACACTCTGATAGGGGATTTTGATAATGGGGGTCTATGCCTGTCCAGGGACAGGGGTATATGGAAAAAATCTCGGTCCTTCTAACTTTGTTTTGAATCTGAAACTGCTCTTGAAAATAAAATCTTTTAAAAAGGAAGCAAAGAAAGCAATGGTGTGCACTGCCTGTGCCTACCCTCCCCATTCGGCCAGGCACAGCCATCTGCGCATCACCTCTTCTGCCCCTATATTCCTTTTGAGCCCAATTTGATTTGACTTGTTTTTAGTTTCCTAGTTAATAGTTTGTGGATCTGATGTAGAATTTGCTGCTTTGGCTACTCGATTTGAACCCTTCCTAAACTGGGCATCAGCTCCCAGTTCAGTTTCTGGCTAAGCCCCTTTCTTCAAGCATTTTGTGTGAGCTCCTGGCATCTGAGCTCCTGTGCTAAAGGATCTCTCCTTTCTGCTGCTCTGGCAGGTAAGTCCCTGTTGCCCCATGAGTGACAAAGGAGATTCAGCTTGCTCAGGACCGGGGACTTGGAGAAGACCACATCAGCTTGGTGAGGCCTGGGGAATCACATGTTAGCATGTGCATTTTGTATCAACTGGATCTTTGAAGAGTTGGTGAGGAGAAAGCTGAAAAAAAAGAAGACAAAAGATGGGTTTGTGCATAAAAGCTTAGACCTGTACGAACATTAAAGATCATCTCATCCAGCCCACATTGTATAGGGAAGAGAATTGAGGCTCAGAGAGATCTACTGATTTCCTCACCAACATTAGTACCAGGCACTTGAATTAAGGTCTCCTCGTTTCTGTGTAGGCATACATAGAAAAAGTTCTTCAAGCACCAAACACATAGTCACTAGCAACACACTTTTGCTTTATTCTTCCTTAGAAGAAACTGTCAGTAAGCATTCAAATACTTTTGTTAACATTTCTTTTTAATCTCCTAAGGAAATAATACTCTTGGTATTTAAAATACAAGGTCCATTTAGGTACTTTGAAATGATGGGAACAGTATGTTTCCTCTTGGACCAACCCTACCAGGGATTCAGGAACACCTGTTCATCTTTCAACCCCTTATCCTTGGATCCATCTGTCTACTCTCAGATTTGGTTAGCACCTGAGGTTTGATAGAGATCAGTTGGGATCAACATTGGTGATGAGTCCTCACGCTGCCACTATCTTGGGCAAATTTGCTTCTGAGCTGCAGCCAACATTCGGGGCCCCTTTGAGAGTCAAGTTTTCGTCAGACTGTCCTCTAGCATCCCCAATATCACAAGGTTCAGCTAGTGGGGAAAGGCTGTGGGTAAAGAGTTGGCTGCCAGAGGATTCTAAAACTTCCTCTCCTGCCCCCAGGCTTTCAACACAGAGATGTATAAAAGAGTAGATACGGCCAAATGAGTCCAAGGTAACATCTGATTTCTTTCCTCAGGAGATTCAATGAGATGATGTGTCACATGTAAACGTTGAGAAGTTAAACACGAGTTAGTTACTGGAGTGGCTGCAGGCTATAATGGCATGCCATTTGAATTCAGAGCTAAGTCCAGTCTTAGTGACATCACCTAATGGCTGAGAGAGCTTGGCAACTCAGTTTTCTTTATTGAATTTTATGTTCTCTGTCTATAAAATGAGACCATGCCTGGGCTGAATTGTGTGTTCCCCACATTGACATGCTGAAGTCCTAACCCCCAGTACCTCAGAATGTGAGTATATTTAGAGACAGGGCCTTTAAAGAGAGAGCTGAGGTAAAACAGGTCATAGCGTGGGCGCTAATCCAACATGATTGCTGTTCTTACGAGAAAAACAGATTAGGATACTGATAAGCACCGTGAGAAGATACTGGCAAAAAATAGCCATCTTAAAGCCAAGGAGAGGGGTCGTAGAAGAAACCACTGTGCCGCCATCTTGGTTTTGGACTTCCGGCCTCCAGAGTTATGAGAAAATAAATTTCTGTTGTTTAAGCCCCCCAGCCTGTGGTACTTTATTACAGAACTTTGTTATGGCCCTAACTGCCCTAACAATGGAAAGATGAAAAAAAAACTTAAATCACTTTCTGAATATAAAGCTGTCAGTACAACGCTAACGGTAGTTACTATCCCTAAGCTTTAAGAGATTGAAGGAGTTGGACACTTGTGGAATTGGACAGAGCTAAAAAGTGCACAGCTATGGAAATTTCTCTAGGCCTCCAGGAATCAATGTGTTGAGAAGGTGTTTCTTGACTTGGGCTCATCTAATAGTAAGATGTGATGGAAACTGACATGCTATGTCTGGCCAGGCTGTGTCAAGAAACCCAGACAGAAGAAAACAAGGAAACTCTTTGTACTTCATATTTATATTAATGATTGTCTTTCAGCCCAGAAGGGGAATCTTGTCCCTTCCTTGTCACTCAGAATTCCCAAATATAGCTGAGTTGGTGGCAAATTTCTAAGGAAATGTTTTAGCCGTGAAATGAAAGTGTTACTCTTTAGGAAAAGGAAATCACCTTGGATTTTGTAAGGGGCAGAATAACTGCACTGAATTCTAGATGCTCATTTTTATTTGTGTTGGATAGGAGTAATCTTTCTAGCCTATACTTTTCAACTCAGTGTTTATTTAGTCAACCTCTTGGAGAACTGAGCACTGCCCTGGTGGAGCATTGTAGGATGGATGGAATGCACAGAAAGCCACGAGTCCTTGCTTTGCAGCTGGTACAACATAATTGGTGTTAGACAGACTGACAGCAGCCAGGCAGTCATGCATCGAGGGAGAGTGCAAAGTAAAAGAAAAGCACGTAAGGTTAAGCAGGGAAAGAAAGTTCTGCACTTTTGTCTTTTGGTCTGAGAAGGCATCTTCTTAGCATCTGTTTAGAGGAGTCAGTAATTTTCTATTCAAAAGACATGGAATCCATTATCTAAGGTTTCACAGCAGTTTTTAATTTAGTAACCTCCTCTTCCTTCTCTCTTCCCCTCTTCCTAAGCCGTGTTATATTTTCTTTGCACAAGTTTTCATGAGCTCTGCCTTCATCAAGGGAATTGTAATGAGAACCCTCGAAAAAAGGATTATCAACTTGGAGGCTGCATATGAAAAGAACACATTTTAAAGCAACTTTTGCTTGACATCTCAATTTATAAGTCAGTTTTGTTTTTAAATAAATAAACCTAGAAGGATTGAAGCACTTTGTTTGGTAGAAATGAACAATGCAAAAATTATAGTGAATCAGAGCATTTTATCGTCAGTAGAGTGCCTTGATCAACCTAAGATGAAGGTAATGCGTAACTATAAATGGTTCCTTTTCATCAGATTAATTGTGTTGCTATTTGCGGGGTGGAAGCTATAGCATCTGAAATTCAGGATAGGTAATGATGGTAAACATTACTGAGGAAACAATTATCCTGGAGGATTCATCAGGGCATTTCATTTCTCTCACTTTATAGAAGCAATCATTTCATTAGGAATTTTTATCGCTAATCTGATTTTAAAAAAATGAATCCTTTAGAAAAAGATGAATTAAAAGTGCTCTCATAGAAGAAGGCATGGACTCAAATGGCTTTAAAAAAATGAATTCCTAAGTTGCAACTCATTGAGGCGGAGGCAAGGTGAAATATGTAAATAAATTAGGCTGAGGAGAGAGTAGCAGTGGTCCAGGCCTCGAAGAGGTTTAAGCCAGATCTTCGAAAGGCTGGATGCCACTTCTCTATCGTACTTAACAGTGCCTGAGGCAAATACTACTGCTTAGGAACTATCGCCGTCATTTCCCCCTTCTCTTTCCTCCTGGTTCTCTTCCCACAAGGTGGAAGAACAGTCTAGTAATTGACATCTGTGGCTTTGGAAGACTCGCTGTACTCTGCAGTCCATGCACTGAATGCCTGGGACCCATTAGAGATCTTCCGGGAGTTCCAAGGGTTGCTGACCCCTCTTTAAATGACTTCGGAAGAGCAGGCTGCAGCTCTAGGCCTGCCAAACAGTGGCACGGCAGCAGGTGTAGCTGCGAGGTGTGGGTCGGTGCTGGTGTTTTCTTTTGGATCCCTGTTAGCAGGGAGGTCTATTTGAACTTTGGCAGTTGTGTGCAGAAGGAATACTAGGATTGGGTTAACCAAGATAAGTCTTTGCATGGATAAAGGGATGCTTTATTATTTAGTTTTTAAAAAATCATTTATTTCTATAGGTTTTGGGGAAACAGGTGGTATTTGGTTACATGAGTAAGTTCTTTAGTGGTGATTTGTGGGGATTTTGGTGCACCCATCACATGACCAGTATGCACTAAACTCAGTTTGTAGTCTTTTATCCCTCACCTCCCTTCCATCCTTTCCCTCTAGTCCCCAAAGTACATTGTATCATTCTTAGGCCTTTGCACCCTCATTGCTTAGCTCCCACTTATGAGTGAGAACATACAATGTTTGGTTTTCCATTCCTGAGTTACTTCACTTGGAATCATGGTTTCCACTTCCAACCAGGTTGCTGTGAATGCCTTTAATTCATTCTTTTTTTAATGGCCAAGTAGTATTCCATCATACTATATACCATATTTTATAATATATATACCATACTATATATAATCGTTTCTTTATCCACTCATTGATTGATGTGCATTTGGGCTGGTTCCATATTTTTACAATTGCGAATTGTGCTGCTATAAACATGCACATACAAGTATCTTTTTTTGTATAACGACTTCTTTTCCTCTGGCTCGATATCCAGTAGTGGGATTGCTGGATCAAAAGGTAGTTCTACTTTTAGTTCTTTAAGGAATCTCCACACTGTTTTCCATAATGGTTGTACTAGTTTGCATTCCCACCAGCAGTGTAGAAGTGGATGCTTTATCAAAGACTTGCTTGTATCTTCCCTAGTATACAGCCTCCTAACACATCTTCTAGTGGGCAGGAAGGAAGGAAGCGGATGTGTAAATCCTGTTATAAGCACCTCCTTTAAGCACTGGGGTATAACCTTTCCATGGAAGACTGGGAGGCCTGTGCAGAAAGTGGGGATAAATGAATGAGTTGGAGATTTAATAACCAGCTTTCTGTACAACATGCTGAGGGGCTATTAACTTATTTTTCTTTATTTAAACTCTTACAATGAAATAAATGTATATCTATTTTATAATATTGAAGAAATGAAGATAAGCAAAACTGAGCAAATAAGAGTGAACTGAACACTTTTCACCTGAAGATGACCACTGTTAATATGCCAGGACCATCCTTCTGAGCTCTTTTCTTTGCTTATCCATCTACACACACAGCAAACACAGATTTACCAAATGTGATAGTTTTATTGTAACTATTGTCATTTTTAATGATTGCATAGTAGTTCTTTTAAAGATGGTACCAACGTTTTTTAAGAAAGATTTTATTGCCAGACATCTCAATTATTTCGGGATTTCTCCTAGTGTAAACCACATTGTCCTGAACACTTTTGTAAATAATTATCCATATACATCCATGACCATTTTCTTAGCATAAATTCCTAAGGAAAATTGAGAACTTCTGATACATATTGCTAAATTGCCACCCTGAAGAGTTCATGTATTCAAAACATGTCTACTAACTGAGCAGTCAGTTTATGTCCAGGGTTGGCTATTAAATGGGGACATCCAGCATGAAGAAGAAAACACAACGTCCTCATAGAGATAGCCATTAAATACGTAAACACAGCAGGTTTGAATGTCACACAAGGGGAAAACCAGGAGCCACTGGAGATCCTGGGGGAAGAACCACTTCAGAGTCCCCCAGCAGCATGTGGGCAGGCCTGAGTCTCTGGGTCTTTGCCAGTGCCTTCCACTATTGTTTCACTGCGTTTTATATCAAAGTAAATGGAAATGAGATCCTGGACTGCACATTTATACAGGAGTACAGCCCAAGCATAAGGCACAATATACTCTTTTACGATCTCTGTCCTACTTTGGATTCAGGCTTAAGAGACCTCATTCAGAGATTTAAATTTAATAAACGGAATCAAACCTGGTGAGGAGACAGCTTCTCAGGCTACAAGGCTGGCTGGTGCTATCTTCTCTCAACCCTGTGAGGGAGGCCTGGTTTTCTTCTTGACCGAATTAGTCACTTGCACATCTGTGGGGGGGATCATCCTTCTTTTGGTCTCTTCTCTCTGGGAACATAATGAATTCATTGTATTTTATTTTTTCTCTTTCTCCTCCTCCTCCCCTCTCCTCCCCCTTCTCCCCTTTTTCCTCACCCCTTCCCTCTCCCCCCTCCCCCCCTCCCCTGCTCCTCAAGGTATCTCTCTTTTTCTACATCATGAGCAACTTGATGGGGGATTCCGTAAATGCTCAGTAGATTGTTGACTAATTGACTGAGCGCCTGAATGATGTCACCCGACTCTCTTACTGCTACCTGGCATTATTAGTGGCATTAGTTAGGATTCTGAGTTTACATTAGAGAATGCAAACTTGCTTAAAGGGGCTATTTTTGGTCATAGAAATATTAAGCCTATCTATTTAAATTTTCTTAAGTCCTTATTGCCATTAAACTCTTCCTTTATTGTCACCTTTGATGTAAGGGAAAGACTGTCAGCCATTAGCAGTATAACAGTCTTGAATGTCAGGTTAGGGACAAGGGCTTAGGGTTTTATGTAAGGAAAGCCCCAAGTGGTAGACAGGTGGAGAAACCACTCATTCCTGCTGCAGGCTGATGGTGGGAAGGAGAGAAGGGACTGATTGGGGAGAAGGAAACTCCCATGCATAGGCCTGAGAGGGGTGGGTGTGTCAGGCAGGTTGAGGAAAGTGCTGAGGATGATGATTTTCTGTCTGATGCCACAGGAGGCTGCAGGGGCTGCAGGGAGACCCCCTGGTTCAGAAGGTCTCAGGCAGAATGTAGCGAAGGCTCAGTGTTTAGCAAGAGCTCAGGGAGGCCTTGGCAGTGCAAGGTGGGGGTCACCGGGGTGCAGGCAGAGAGAGGCTGGTGCTTGGGTTACACACTGCTGCATGGGGCTGCAGGGCCTGCAGCTGTGACTTTTGTCAGAATAAGCAGTGATCAGGCAGACCAAGGACACCCTGCCAGAAGCCAGAGGAGCTCTGGCACTCCAGGAACCTCCGTACTCCAGAGCCACAAGGCCATGAGAACTCTCTTTCCACTGTTCAACCCAACAGAGGAGAGATTGAGCAATTATCCCAGATTACAGAAAACCAAGTACATATTCTCCCCACTAAAACCATGTAAAATTTATATTTTCTTTGTATTTAAGTTGTAGCATGAACCATATTGCAACTCTGTTAGGCTAGTTTATACATAAAGGGGAATGTACTGGTTCACAGAATCCAAAAGGTTGTAGAGAATGTAGTAGTTTTAAGTTATGAGAAGGTGCAGGCTCACCTGGAGACCGGGGCTCTGCTTTCTGTCTTCACTAACCTCTGCTTCGTGCTGCATCTCAGCTTCTTTCTTTCTCACTGCTGATCAGTTCCTTCACATGGGGAAGTTTTATACTCTATATTTCAACCATTAGAGGAAAAGAGACTTCCCTCAAGTTTGTTTGTTTTGGCCTCAAATTCAAACTCTCAGGGAATGATTATATTGCCTGTGTTGCAGTCAGGTGTCTTACTCTTGCACATCTGTGGGGGGATCATCCTTCTTTTGATCATTCTCCTCTCCGGGAACATAATGAATTCATTGCATTTCCTTTTTTCTCCTTCTCCTTCCTCTCCTTCTCCCCATCCCTGACCCTCATCCTCAATGTGTCTCTTTCTTTTCCTATATCATGAGCAACTTGATGAGGGGTGACCCATACTTTAGTTCCCGGGTTCAGTAAATGTTCTGAACAATCAGTTGCAGCCTGGGGATGGCATTTTCCACACCTCCTCCCCTCCTGGGTCAATTGCCTACTCTTGAACCAACAAACTATGGTCAGCGTGGTCAGGGGTTTAGGGATACAAGGTGGTTCACGGTGTCCATGTAACTGAGGGAGAGTTCCCAAGAGAAAGATTGAGTGAGGGTATCTCAGTCAGTCTGGACTGCCGTAACAGATTACTACACACTGGGCAGCTTAAACAACAGACATTTATTTCTCACAGTTCTAAAGGATAGAAAGTCCTAGATCAGGGTGCTGGTGGGTTCTGGTGAGGGTCCTCTTCCTGGTTTGCAGATAGCCATCTTCTTGCTATATCTTCATGTGTCAAGGGAGGGGGGCGGGGAGAGAGAGAGAGAGAGAGAAAGAAAGAGAAAGAAAGAGAAAGAGAACTCTCCTCTTCTAAGTGCACTAATCCCATCATCAGGGCTCCATCCCTGTGACCTAATCACCTCCAAGTACCATCGCAATAGAGATTAGTGATTCAACATATGAATTTTAGGGGGACACAAGCATTCCGTTAATAGCATTTGGTGATGTTAAAAGCAAGTCCCAGTAATACACAACATGACATCAATCCTCTCAGGACGCCCCAGGACATTCGGGTTTCTTAGGGTTGTAGGGGAGGAAAAGGTTCATGCCTGAGGCTGCTATAACAAAAGGCAGATTAACACAATGAAACCATACACAATTTATTTTACTATTTTATTTTTATTTTTTGAGATGGAGATTTGCTCTCGTTGTCCAGGCTGGAGTGCAAGGGAGTGATCTCAGCTCACTGCAACCTCCACCTCCCATGTTCAAGCGATTCTCCTGCCTCAGCTTCCTGGATAGCTACAGGCGTGTGCCACCACGTCTGGCGAATTTTTGTATTTTTAGTAGAGATGAGGTTTCTCCATGTTGGTCAGGCTGGTCTCGAACTCCCAACCTCGGATGATCTGCCCGCCTCAGCCTCCCAAAGTGCTGGGATTACAGGCGTGAGCCACTGTGTCTGGCCACAAATTTATTTTTTATGATTTTATGTGACATGAGAGCCTTCATCAAGAAATGAAGACCCCAAAGAAACAGGTCTATTTGTGTATTTTCATGCCTAGGCTTGCTGAAGAGTGGTCAGTCATGGAGAAGTACGATTGGAGGAGAAAAGAATATGATCTAATGGTAAAAGCCAGGGGAATCTTAGCAAGCCCTGTTTTTTCTGATTCTTCTTAGTGTCTCTGTGTCTTTGGCTCCTTTCCCTTGGGTATAGGGAGGGCTTCTCTTGAATGAGAGTCTCACGGCCTTCCTTAGGGAAGAAGGGTGAAGGGATGGTAGGAAGGGCCTTCGTGCTTCTGTTTTCTCAAGTGCTGATGTGCCATCTTTTGGGGTAACGTGTTTTAAATCCTATTAGGAGTGATGGAATGGTGAGTGGCTTACTCAGAGAAGTCCACAGTAATCCTACCAGTCTCCAAGATGGCCCCAGTGGTCCTTCACACATGTACTTTTATCCCAGGCTGAATCCAGGCTGGCCTGTGTGATTAATCGAAATCGAGCCCAGTTGAGCTGGCGGCATGTGGCTTACAGGGCAGGTCTTATGGGGCTTTGTAGCTTCCATTTGCTTTTACAGGTCCCTTGCTCTTGTTGTGAGCACAGTCATACAACCCTGTTAGGGGCTCATGTGGAGAGGAACCGTGGCCTTCTACTGACAGCCAGCAGCCCCTTGCCAGTCATGTGAGTATGCCATCTTGGAGCAGACCCCGATCAAGGCTTCAGCTAATTGCAGCTTTGGCTAACACCTGACTGCAATTTCATGAACAGCTTTTTCAAGCCAAACTAGCCAGCCAAGTAGCTCCCAAATTCCGGACCCAGAGAAACTAGTTGTCAAAGATAAGAAATATCTACCATTATTTTAAGCTTCTAAGTTTGGGGTAATTTATTATGCATGATTAAATTAATTTTTGTACATTCCCAAATCAGGCAAGTCAGGGTAAACTTTCTTATCCTTAAGTAGCCATACATAGTACCCATCTAATGTGACTCAAATAGAGAGGAAATGGGCAGAAAATTCTACATTATTTTCTTTGGATCCCATAGGTATTCTGTTAAAAAGATAAAGCAGAAAGAATACAGGAAACAAAGAACCCTGATGTGTATTTTACCTAGTTTGCTAATATCACTGGAATGCTAAGAAAGGAAATCTCAAGCATAGCACATTGAAGAAAAAAAAAAACACTAAAAAAGTAAAAGCTATTCAGAATATGTGAATTTTCATCCCAACTTTCGGCCAAGTCATTAAGCTTTTTCTGCTCCAACTTCCCTGGGTTACTCAAGGATCACATGAGATAATGAACACGGAAGCTCTCTATAACTTTTAACACCTTGCAAATATCACATCGTCAATGTTAGAATCATGAGGACAAAGGGTGTGAATGTGGGTTAGAATTGGAAACTGGGAGGAAGAAATAAGAGAAAACCTGTTCATTTGCTTCTCTAATACAAGTAAGTTTCCTGATAATAGAAAAATACTTTTAGTCAATGTTGAATATTACCTTAATATTGTTTGGGAACATTTCTGTGTGTAGGAAACCTCGAAATAAGATCTCCATTTGACCCATGAATTACAGAGTTGCTAATAAGCGGATTCCTAACAATTCTGTCTCCAGGCATTCTCCTGACATCCCACAGCTGTGCGATTGCAGGGGGATCTGAGAGTTGCAGCTCCCGCTAGGGCTGTGCCACCCACTGATATATAACCCGCTGGAAGGTGTTATCTGTATCAGTCTTCCCATGGAGACCCCATACCTCAGCAGGTATATTTCATGAGTGAAGGTATAACTGATGAATCTTCTAATTTTATAGTCTGAAATGGGATGATAAAATGCTAGATTTATAGATATTGTTTCATTGTGTACAACACTCACGTTTCTTATTCCCATCTGGTGTGAAGAAAAGAAATTTGTTCTCCCTTTATCGTGTCATGCTGTTAAATGTACATTGCTAAGATCTTGAGGAGTGGAAGCATAGCTATCCACCAGCATAAGAGATGTGGTGCTGTGGGCGATACTTTAATGCCAGCAGAGCTTAACCAAAGGCATTTTATTGCCATTGCAGTTATTTTTTATTTTGGAAGGGGAAGATAAACCTTTATGTCCTGGCTTATTAACAAAACCTACCCTCAAATTAGGATGAGCTTTTTTAGATATGCAGTTGTCTGCCGATTCTTCCCCAAATTTCATGCTACTAAATGTGCAGACTGCTTCATTGTTGTAGAGCATTAGAAATTCTGCCCAAGGAGTGCATTTTCAATTGTAGCCTTATCAGGTGGCCTTTCT